TACTACTACTACTACTACTCCTCTGCTCCTACTCCTGCTGCTGCTGCTGCTGCTGCTCCTGCTCCTACTACTACTACTACTACTACTACTACTAGTACTACTGCCACTGCCACTGCCACTGCTACTCCTGCCTGCTACTGCTACTGCTACTGCTGCTGCTACTGCTACTGCTACTGCAGTGCTGCTACTACTATTACCTCCACCGCTACTGCTACTACTCCTGCTGCGGGCTCGAAGGCTCGTCTCGGAGAGAAGCTAGACCTTTGCAGTTGGGAGTGCTTAGTGCATCCTTGCCGTGGCGGTGTCTTTCATGTTTTGATGTCACGATGACGAGCATGCGTTGCTTTCGACATTACATACGTGTAGCCATGGAAATCCAAAATGGCTGCTTCCGCAAGCCGTGAGTGCGGACTTTTGCAGCCGGCAGAATGGTTGCTACATTGCTCCAATGCCGCACATCTTGCTTGCAACTGCAGTGGCCCATGCACTGTTCTTAGTCTACTCCGGAATGGTTTCGTTTAATTCAAGCACTCTCTCTTGCTCTCGTATCATTGCTGTATTGCTGTCTGTATGATCATGAACTCATGAAGCCAGGTTCAGGACGTGGCTGAGCTTGGCTGTGTGTTGTCGTAAATGTGGTTGCCGTGATGTCGTGGGATTGGGAAGGAGCCTTCAAATAAAGACCCTAGCCCTAAACGGCCCTAAACCAAAGAGGCTTCTTGACCTCGGGCCGGCAGGTTGCTACGCTGGGTTGCCTCTTCGGTTTGGGCGAGGAGTCACGCTCAGAGGCCGCGCATCATGAACCCATGCGCACACACACACACACATATATATATATATATGGGCGCACCCCTATCTGGGGTCCCCTACGTTTTTCGCTATGCCATATGACCAGGTTATAACCATCCGAGTAGGTTATGAACAGCCGACTAGGTTATAATCATGTATACGTTATCGAGTATAGTATTATATCTATATGGAAGGCAGATCCTCCTGAAGTTCTTCTTCATCCTCTGTAACCCCAGCGGGCTCAGCTGGATCCGGAATCAACTCCTCATCCTCCTCTCCTTCCTCAACATTCACAACAGGCAAGCCTTGCACCCTATGTCTCAACGCGCAAACACGGTGCAACAACTGCGGCTCAGATCTCCC